TTTTATATGTTTCAAAGAAGCAGGGCTTTGCCGTGTCCCCCAGGCGCCGAGTCTGTCGGCCTTTGGAGAGAGGCAGGAGCGTTTCTCTGGTTGCAAGGGGTCGGGGGGCAGCCTAGGAGGAGGGGAGGGACCGGACCTGGCTTGGGGAGCTGCGGGCAGGGTTGAGGAGGTTTCTGTTTGTGGGAGAAGAACCCACATGAGCACATCGCTGGCCTGGACCTGGGTGTGGGGACGGGGGTGGCCTCTGGGACCCGCAAGGAGCCGCGCTGGGGAGGAGGGCCAGATCGTGGGCTGCTGGCACGTGCACAGGCCCACGGGCCGGGGATTGTTGACCTTGTTGGGAATTGCCCCAGGGAGAGCTGGTGTGCTGACCAGGCTCTGGGCTCCTCCCTACGGAGGCTAGTATGGGGTCCATGTGGGGCAGGGCCTGGGAATCTGGATTTTTTAAAAGATTTTATTTATTTATCCATGATAGAGAAAGAGAGAAAGAGGCAGAGACACAGGCAGAGGGAGAAGCAGGCTCCATGCCGGGAGCCCGACACAGGACCCGATCCCGGGACTCCAGGATCATGCTCCAGGCCAAAGGCAGGCACCAAACCACTGAGCCACCCAGGGATCCTCTGGAATCTGGATTTTTAAAAAAGATTTATGTGTTTGACAGAGAGAGCACGAGCAGGGAGAGAGGAAGGGGCAGAGGGAGAAGCAGACTCCCCTGCTGAGCTGGGAGCCCAACACGGAACTCGATCCCAGGACCCCGAGATCCCGACCTGAGCTAAAGGCAGCCGCTTCACCGGCCGAGCCACCCAGGTGCCCTGGGAACCTACATTTTACCTGGCAGCTGAGCTGACCGTGATGCCCGTGGCCTGTGGATGGTGCTCGGACGCCCACCAGCATGGGCAGCACAGCACCAGTGCAGACGCCACTGGCTGAATTGGTTTGGTGGCTGTGGCTGTAGCCACGTGTGCGGAGGCGGAAGGCTCGGGTTGGGGGCAGGGGGGCTGGCAGAGAGCCTGATGGGGAGTCTTTTCGGGGTGGGGGGGGGCTCAGGTGGGGAGGAGGTGGGTGGAGACATGGATTCTGGGTCAAGCCGTCTGCTAGGGCTGCAGGACTCAAAAGTGTGGTCCTGGGGCCAGAGCTTGACCCGCTGCATCAAAACAGGACTTTTATCAAGATCCAGATGCTGCTTCTTGGCTTTCGATGTGCAAGTGAAATACGTGAACGAGAAAGGGGAGGGTGGTTCATTCGATGAACTCCAGTAAGAGCACCCCCCACCCCCAGAGCCCAGAGGCTGAGCTGAGCACCTCTCACGGTGGTGGGAGGTCAGGTGGTAAGGTCACCCCAGGACAGAGTCCTGGCTCCCAGCTCTGACCTCCCTCGGCTGCAGGTGGGGGACTCAGATCAGGGGCCGGCCCGCTTGGGTTTGAACCCTTGCCGTACTGCTTATGACCTGTGTGTCCTTCGGCAAGTCACTTAATCTCTCTGAGTCTCGGTTTTCCCATCAGAAAGTGGGGATGGGAGTAGAGTTCCCCTGCTGGGGTGAGACCAGGCGAGAGGGACAGCCTGTGCCACGAGGGCCTGCGTCCGTGAGGTCTTCGTGGTGACCCGTGTCCTGTCCATGCAGAAAGCTCCGTTTTGCCCTGTTTTCTTCCTGCGCGTTACCTCGTCTGTGAAATGGGCCCAGAGAAGCTCTCGGATCATATAGTGGTGTGACTAGGGCATGTGCGAGGTGGGTGGACGCCCCATGTTCTCTGAGGGGTGTGGTGTCCCTGCGGGTCATCCTGACACTGCCACCATGGGCGTCACTCTAGGGGGTCTGGGGCCCCGTGAGTGCCCTGCAGGATTGTCACATCGGATGCCAACCTTTGGAGGGCCGGGGGCTCTGTCCTGACCAACTGCCACCCGTTAGCCGTGGCCGTTAGGCGCACCTGCAGGCTCTGAGACCCCCCGTGGGGCACGTGGGCAGCTTCCAGAGTGTCACCCCCTAGTGGCCCTGCGTGGGCAGCGTGTGCCCCTAGTACGCGGGAGGGGGCCTCGGGGGCAGGTCGCAGAGCCTTGCGGCCTCTCACTGTGGCCGGTCCTGCTCACGGGCGTGAGGTGCCCTGGAGTCTGCGGTGGGCTTGGGGCCCGGCGCCTCCCCGCCGCCCGCCAGCGGGTCTCCCCAGCAGCCTGGCAGGAGCCCGCCTCTACTGGGAGGCTGTTTGAGCGACCGCCCGGGGGTGGCCGCTGCACTGGGACCACAGAGGGTGCAGGAGAATGGGCCCAGTGTCCACTTGGCGCTGGAGGCCAGACGGTGTCCACCTCGCCTCCCGTCTGCTGCTCTGAGTGGGGCTTGTGTCGGGACAGGGCCTGTGGTTTCCCTGAGGGGACGAAGGCAGCCGACGTGGGGCGGGCAGCCGTCCAGCTCGGGGGGGAGCACGATTCCCAGACCAGAGAGAGAGAACCCCGGATGCTCAGGGTACTCTGGTCTCAAGTTAGCAAACAGGACGGGCATGGAGGGAGGAGATCAGGGGAGCCGGATGTGAGCCGAGGGAGGGCCGGGAGGCCTGTGCTGGGTGTCACAGGGTTGCCAGTTCTTAAACTGGGAGCTGACTGTAGTTTCTGGACTTTGTCCCCAAGATGTCTGTCCAGATGTTTTATGGTTTCGTCCATTTACGTGTCTTTAGGAAACCCAACTCGGCGATCTTGGGGTGCCCACCTCTGTGGGCCTGGTTCAAGGCGATCAAGTGGGTTGGGGCGCGTCCAGGTTTTACTGACCGTCTCCAGGTGACAGAAGGTGGCCCGGCGGACCGCTGGATCTAGGGGTGCGGTTCCCCTTCTCTCCGGTGCCTTCCAGGGGAGCCGAAGGGACGTTCACAGCTCTCCAGACCTCTCCCCGCCTCTTTGGACACCACAGTGGCCATTCCCAGGGTGGAGGAAGCTCAGGCTTTGGCATCTGGGGCTCAGACCCGCACGCCCGTCCTCCCCCGCGAGCTGCGGAAGTGGTCCATCTGTTCTGCGACGGCCACCCCGGCGGGCGTGGACGGTCCCTCCCCGTAGCTTCCACACGTGCACCCCCGATGCCTGCTGGTGCTAACGTCTCAGGCTTCCTTAGCCGCGTGCCTCCCCGTTAGTCCAGTGTCTGTTTTGCTTGCCTTTTTTTTTCCCATTTAAAAATTGGATTTGTCTTATTGAATTCGGGGTGGTTTATATAATCTGGATTCAAGCCTTCTGTTGCGTCTGTGATTCACAGGTACTTCGTGCCAGGCTGTGCCTTTTGTTCTCACTTACGGACGATGATGGCTCTTGGCGTGCAAAGGTTTTTAGTATCGATAACGCCACCTTATCCGTTTCTTCGGCTGGTTGTGCTTTTGGGGTTGGATCCAAGAAATCTCTGCCTGAGCCAAGGTCATGAAGATATACTTGCGTCTCCCGCTGCGGCCGTAGCGTTAGACCTTGCGCTGAGGGCTGTGCTCGTCTTGAGCTGGTTGTTGTACGTGGTGTACGGATTTGCAGGTGGCCATCCAGCCGCCCCGGCGTGAGCTGTTGGGAAAACACCCGGACTGGTCCTCCCCCTTTTGCATTGCGGTGGCACCTTTGTGGAATCCCCGCCACTCGCGATCCATGCCCCAGCGCTCTGTCTCTCTCCCTCTCTCCCCCTCCTCTTGCTCATCGTGGTGGTTGGCAGAGTGGCGGGTGGAACTCTAGCCGCTGTTCTGAGCGTATGACCGCATGACCGAGTTGACCAAAAGCCGGCGGCGGCCTGAGCAGCCTCGGGTGGTCAAAGGCACCAACCCGTCTCTGCCACTCGCCAGCCGTGTGACCTGGGTTAAGTTTCTTAACTGGTCCCTGCCTCAGTTTCCCCACCTGTGAACTAGGGGTGCTGGTAGCTCCTTAGCTCACAGGGTTATCTAGGAAAGGTGAGCAGACGCCCGTAACGGTCTGCTGTTCCATGGGCGCGGTGGCGTTTTCTGACTCCCGCCACGCCTCTGGGTCGGCCTTGCTCACCGGCTGCACGTAGGCTAAGATGAAAGCGGGGTGGGGGAGGTTGAGGGGCACTCGGCACAGCCTGTAGCCGTCCAGGAAGGCGCTCCTCTAGCCCCCCAGTCTGGCTGGTTTTGACATGAGCTGCAGGTGGCCGTAGACGTGTGAATTCACACTTTTTTTGGTGTAAATGCACCTCCTTTTCTAGAGGGGGGGCCTGCAGACCACGGATCCCTTCCTGACGCCGAAGCGTCCCCCTCCTATAATCCCACAAGAGAAGAGCTGTGAATCCTGGAAAAAGAAGCTTAACACCCGCACCCCTCCCCCAACCCAGCGATTGGCTTGGAGTGGATTCTCGTACCGAATGTGCATGCACACGTGTTTGCTCACACACCTGCACGCGCACACACACCCCTGCACACGTGCACAGACTCCTCCTCCGCCCTCCCCTCTGCCCATTTATAAGCAGCTCCTCCTGCAGCGACCAGACACATGCACCCTCCCACCCCTGCCTGAGTCCTAATGCATCTCCCCAGGCGGGGGTCTCAGCCTTGGCACTGTGGACATGAGCCACTGTTCGTTGTGGGGACCGTCCTGGGAAATGCAGGATGTCGAGCATGCCCTGGGTGCCAGTAGCACACCCCCGTCCCCCAGGTCCAGTTGTAACAACAAAAAAAGGTTCCCAGATGTTGCCACATGTGCCCCAGAGAGCAAAACCACACCCCGCCGGAAACAGCTGCCCTACAGGGGCTCGTTAAAAGTGTGCAAGACAAGCTGGGAACAGAGCCTGGGCCCTCGAGGGCGGGTCTTGGCCAAGTGACCTGGAGGGACATGTTCTAGAGCTTGTCCTGCATTCACAGCTCCGTGTGCCTTGTCTCCAGGGCCTCGCTCTCCTCAGCACACTCCGGGCAGCAGCGTGTGTCCTGTCCTTGTGGGCTTGGCGTGGGACAGCCGTGGCAACCGTGGCTCCTCGGCCCCTGGCACCTTGACTCCCGCTCTAGCTTCCTGCCACCTTCCCCCCGGGAGCCGTGTCTGCACAGGTCACCGACATGAAAAGGAATGCAGACAGAGCCGCTCAGCTGAGTCCCAGCCCTGACCACGAGGCCCCGCTTCTGAGGCAGAAGCAGAGATTACTACAAGTCCGTGAAAAAGGAGCCCTCGCTCTGCAGAGGAGACCAGACCTCCAGCCGTGGAAGAGCCAGCAGCCGCAGTGCCTGGCCGAGGAGCTGAAGGCGGGGTGGCAGGAGGCCCCCCCGCAGCAGGTCCAAGGCCTGGAGCGGCCGTATTTAGCACATCTGTTAGGCGTTGGGGGAGGACCGGCCAGGGAGCACCAACCGGACTCGGAGGGGCCGGCCCAGCGAGGAGCAGCCCGGCCACAGAGGGCCGGGGAGAGGCACAGAGCGGCCGCCAGAGAAGCGAGGAGTCGCAGAGAAGACCTAGTCAGACCCAGACCCCAGCCCTGGCGCACCAAGCCCCAGAGGAAAGCGGTGGGCGCGGAGAAGCCGGGGGCCCCCAGAGCCGCGGGCCTCACTCACTGCCCCCGCTGTGCCCCCGAGAAGATTAAAGGGAAGCGAGTGCCTTCGACCAAGACCAGCGGCGGCCGCCGTCCCGCTGACCCCCGGGGGAGCAGGGGGATGGACGTGGAAGAGCTCGGGGCTGCTGCCGGGGAGCTGGAGCGCATGCAGAAAAGGAAGAAGGAAGGAGGCCGGGACGGGAGGAGGCAGCTGGGGCAGGTGTCGGCGCCCCCCGGTCAGGGCCCGAAGAGCAGCGGTCCGGACCCGAGTCCCAAGGGCAGGGCAAGGGACCTGGAAGAGCTGTGGCTGGGGGGCTGGACCTGCAGAGGGGCGTCTCCGTGCAGGTGTGGCGACAGGAGCAGGTGGCAGAGGGAGCTCGAGTTTGCCTTCCAGGAGTTGTTTAACACGAACCAAGAGCTAAAGAGGCACCTGAGCTTGCACCTGGCCCCGGGGCCCCGGGTGGATCAGAGCTCCAGTGCAGAGCACGGCCTCTCGCAGGCGCCCCAATGCAGAGGCGACACCCCGAGAGACAGGAGCGCGGTGGGCACCGAGGTGGACGTGGGGCCGCGCGGGGAGTGCGCGTGGCCCACGCCGGCCGAGGCCCGCCAGACTGCGTCCCACGCCAGCGCGGACAGGTTCCGGAGCCGGCTCGAGAGCCACAGATACCATCGGGTGGCCAGGCTCACGTCCAGGAGCGAGAGTAAACCGAGGTCTCCCAAGGCGGGAGCGTTTATTGGCGGAGAGAGCCGGCTCCTTTGCAGCCCGGGCTCGGGACCAGCGCCGGCCAGACCGGACCCGCTGGCGGAGGGTCCCCGTCGCCCCTGCCCCGCGGAGCTGGTGGACGGAGGCGGCCCGACGGCGATGGTGGCAGAGGCCTGGCCGGTGGCGGGAACCGGTGCGCCCCACGGGCTCCCCGGGGCTGAGCTGGGAGGCCCGCGCCCTGCCAGAGCCGGAGCCGGAGGAACCGGAGGAGCCAGAGCCAGAGCCGGAGCCAGAGCCGGAGCCAGAGCCGGAGCCGGAGCCGGAAGGGCAGACAGAACAGAGAAGGGTGTGCCTGGCTCGCCTCACGTCCTCCTCCTCCCAAGACCAGAAGGAAGGGGAGTGCGAGCGCGATACCACTTCCCCCTTGGCCTCTGGCTTCTTCGACGATGACCAGCACAGTCAGATGATCCGTGACCTTCAGCAGCAAATTGAAGAGCAAAACAAATTGCACAAGCAATTTCTTGAAGAAGCCAGGAAACGCTTGCAAGAGTTTCAGACGATATGATAAGAGCGCGCGTCCCACCCATGATAAATACAATCGCTGATAACGGGCGTGATGCCCCAACGGGTCCCCGAGCCTGTGTGGTCTGTGTCTGCGGCACCTGCTCAGAAACCGGTGGGCCCCTCCACAGCCGGCCACCTGTCCCCCCCACCCCCACCCACCCCGGGCCCCTAGGCCTGCCTTATCACAGGGTCCTGTTCCAGAAGGTTCCCCAGCACAAGCATGGGAACCCCGCGCGGGGCGCAGTCCTCGGGCCTGGCTGGTGGAGCGCAGAGGCGGTCCCCGGGGCCGAGGCCGCACACATGCCGCTTGCACAGCGAGACACTCAGGTGAAGCAAGGGGTCCAGATGTTCTAGCCAAATAAACACTGGGCTTGCAGGGGCGTCCAAGGTCAAGCAGGCACAGTTTCAGATGATACGTCATTTGTTGCTTAGCTATTGGCTGAGACGCCAATGGGGAGATTGCAGTAAAGCCTCTTTAGTCTTTCAGACCAGCAAAACCAACATTTTTTTTCTTTAATATTTTATTTGTTCATGACAGACACACAGAGAGAGAGAGAGAGGCAGAGACACAGGCAGAGGGAGAAGCAGGCTCCATGCCGGGAGCCTGATGTGGGACTCGATCCCAGGACCCCGGGGTCACGCCCTGAGCCACCCAGCCGTCCGTCAACATCGTTTAATGGGACCTGGCTTAGTATGTTCTTGTAACTCTAATATTAGGGAGCAAGACGAAGGGGAGAGACAGGCAGAGGAGAAGGGGAGTGGTCCCCAGCAACGCGGCTGCCAGGTGCCTCCGTCTGGGGCTGGCAGTGGCGAGGCGCCTGGCTGGCTGGTCAGTGTCCCACCCCTAGCTGCACCCCTGACCCAGCAGCCATGGAAACCCTGCCCCGGGGTAGGGGAGGTGGGGGGGGGGTAGTTTGTCTGCCGGTTGCAGATACTTAGAGGCCAGAACAGGGGTGAATAAACTTTTTCTGCAGGGAACCAGATAGCAAATATGCGAGGCTTTGCCAGCCCGCCACTCTCTATGGCAACGGCCCTCCCCTGCCACCGCAGCTTGGAAGCAGCCGTAGACGACACACAAGTGAGTGGGCATGGCCAGGTTCCAATAAGACTCGATTTACAAAAATGGGGGGGGAGGTGTCTGGGTTCAGACCTCAAGCCATAGTTAGGTGACCCTGGACTGACATGGGAGGACATGTTGCCTCCCTCCCCCGCCCCGACCCAGGACCTCAGATACATTGAGTTGGGTCATCCGTCTTCGGCCCTGATGATGCGTTGGTATCATTGGCCCGTGAATGGCCCCGTCTCTCTCTTAATGTAAATTTTCTGGAAACATAATGAACAATTATGAGCCCACTGTCCAAAGATCTAGAATACTTGCTCCAAACCGGCTTCTTATCTGCGTGCGGCTTCCCTTTCCTGCATGCTGATCCTCCCTAGCTACGTGCCCGTCCCTCCGTTGCGTGGGGTGCACAGGGAGGTGCGGGGTGACCCAGTCCAGTGGGAAGCCTCAGCTGGGCTCCCCCGGGGAGCATCGGGCTCACAGAACCCCCACACGTGCCACTCGGGGCAGTAACTGCACCCCATGAGTTTCTTGGGGGTGGTTTTCAGGTCCTCAGGAGCTGGGGTGAGGGAGCTTTTGTGGTCTCGTGTTTTTATCTCCTTGAGCCCCCTTGTCCGTCCGGCTTTTCCACGTTCTGTAGAGAAAACATTTGATCCCGGCACGTTGTCATTCTGTCCTCTGCTGCGGGAATGTCACGGGACGGGGCTGCAAAGCCAACTGGACAATGCGACCTAAGCCCAACGTGAGTGAGGACGAAGCCCTGGGGCCGGGAGGGCTCCGGGGCTCCCAAGCCAAGTGAAGGTTACCTGAGGGGAGGCGTGCCGGCTCCTAGTGGCTCGGCGTTGCACGTTACAGGGTCGCCCGGGGCTCTGCGTGCTGCCCACACATCGCCCTGGTCCCTGGGGTGGGGGGTGCAGTGGGATCACGTGGTCATGATGGGACCCAAACACTGAGTAATGAGGTCTTTGGAAGCCACGGTCTGGTGAATGGAGGACCCCGCCTTTGACTTTCAGACGAGGTATTCGTGGCCCGAGTGTTCCAGGGGAGGAGGTGCCCCTTCTCGGGCACACTTGAGCCGAAAGTGGGCGTGGGAGATGGGCAGCGAGACTGGGTGGAGGGTGAGTCATTGTTGCCGGAGGATCACACCTACACTGTCCCCCGGCAGCGGGACGAGCACCCTGCCTTCCCCCACCTGTGCTGCAGGAGGCTGGGGGTGGGGGGGCCCTCTTTGCCCAGGGCCAGTGGTGCAGACGATAAAGGTGCCCTCCAGCCGGCCCCCGATTTCCTCTGCAGATGTCCTGGGTATCTTCCATCTCCGCGGTGTCCAGAGAGCAGGCTGGGGTCCTGGCTGACCCTGTCTTTGCTCCCTGCTGATGACTCTGACGCACGTGGACTGTGGTGCCCAAGGGCCTGGGACGGTGCCACCTGGCAGGTTCCCACGGAGCACTGAGGACTCCTGGCGTGATGGCTGTGTGCACCTTCACCCTCCTGAAGCTCTTCTCGGGTCCTCCCCTATGGGTCCTCCCTCTCTGAACACTGTTACCTTCTAGAACTTGCTGTGGGTTTCATGCTTCTGCTCACAGATTTGGTGGGCAGCTTAGCTTCCCTGTTTCCATTTCAGTGTGAATTTACTAGAACCTTGACTGACTGGTCACTTCGTGGCAGCCCCACCTGAGTCCTCCCCAGGCTGGGAAGGCCTCCATGGCTGTCCGATGGTAGCCAGGTGCCCCCATTTGCCCAAGGGCTTTGGAGGGGAAACAGCAGCACCGTCTAGGGCAGGTGCAGACCAGCAGTGCCTCCCAGGTGCCAGGACGAGAGACCCAGGAATGGCAGTTGAGCCCCGTGATGGCACGGCCCGCTCCTACGCTAGCTGCGCCAGCAGGCATCGTGGGTTTGGACTGTGACTCTGCCTTCTACGTGTGCAGGGCCCCACCCGTCCCCTCCCTCACACAGCAGGTGCATGGCCATCAGATGTGTAATAACTTCCAGAACCTCAGAATTATAATGGGGAAAATGCCATTTTTAAAAAATTGGGACACAGGGGCCCCTCTCTGACCTGCTGTGGTTCTTCCAGTGAGTGGAAGATGGCCCCGAGATGTGGACGGTATCCTGCCCCCACCTCCGCCCCCGCAGCACGATGAGGGGTTGATGTGGACGTGCAGCCTGCCTCCACGGTTCTCGTCACAGCCCAGGCGAGGACCCAGGCCGGACAGGGGGTGCCGGGTTGACAGCGCATCCCTGTACACCGTGAGCTCCAGGAGGCAGCCCCGTTTGCCAGGCTGAGCTATGAGGCGGCGGCGGCGAAGCAGCGGGCACACGTGCCTCCCGGGCTCGCCCCACGCCGGAAGCTGGGACTGTAGGCCCTGGGTTCCCAGCCTTTACAGCCCCATTTCTGCCCGAGAATGCAGTGGGTTGGGGTCAGCCCACGGACCGCATGACTCAGTCCTACGCCAGGGGCGGGGCTGCCCCACCGTCCACGCTGATGGGCCTGAGCCGTGGGCCCGGCTCTCGTGCTTTCATCCCTGCAAGTGGGGCGGCCCAGAGAGGAGCAGAGACTTGCCCCGGGTCATGGCCAGCCAGTGGCAGGGTGAGGACAGGGCCACCCCGGCTCTTCGGGCCCCATCCTCAGCCCGCGGATGGCGAGGGATTGCAGGGGGGTGGCTGGGTGTGCCCTCAGCAGGCTCCCTCTGCCTCCTGCCCCCTCCAGCCGCTGCCCTCGCTGCGGGCTCCAGGCTTGGGGTTTGCAGGGCTGAGCTTGGCCGCTGGTCGCAGTCTTGGCGGAGAAAGTGCAGAGCAGCAGTTCTTTCTACAAAGCCGCACTGTTCTCGGCAAATCCTCCCAGGATCGGGATGCATTTTTTTCAAGTGATTCAGCAGCACGTGAATGGGAAGGGCCTGAGCCCAGGGCTTCGGGAACCGTGACCAAAGCCTCTGGCATGAGGTCCCGCTGGGCTCACAGGGAGAAGGAAGGCTGGCGGGGCATGAGTCGGGGGCCTGCCAGGGTCCTGGGGGGCTGGGGCGAGCAGCCGGTGCCCCAGCTTTTCTCTGCACAGCTGATGAGCTCCTAGATGGTTCCCGCGTGCTGCCAAGGGGGCCGGAGCCAACGGACAGGAAGTGGAGGTGGGAACGCTGGTCTCCATGGAGACAGGGCGTCCAGTGGACAGCAGCTTATGTGAATGTGCTAGAATGACCAAAGGCCCGGACCAGGGCCACAGTGCTGCTGTGTCCTCTCTCTCGGGCACCCTGTCACCTTCCCTGCTCCACCCTCAGCTCCCATAGATGCGTCTGCTCCAGGTGGTTGTGAGTGCAGGCATTTCCCACCCTGGCCTGATTCACGCCAGCCACCCTTGCCCTCGCCCTGGATGGGCACAGCCCTGCCCCAGAGCTCCCCAGGGACGAGGAGGTTTGCAAGGACCCAAAGGTGGCATCTGGTCTGTCATAGTTGCTGCTCGGACAGAGGGAGCCCCTGGTTGCCTCCTACCACCACCAGGAGGTCTCTAATAATTATGAAATGATGCTTCCTGCACACACACACACACACACACACACACACACACACACACACACACACTTTTTCTCAGTTCCCTAAAGGAAGTGCATTGGAGGAAGTCGGCCCCACTGCTCACTGCAGGTGGCCAGGTCCTGACACTAGAGAGGGCCCTCCCCACTGTGTCCACGGAGGGACACCCAAGGAGGTGGGGCGTGGGCAGGCAGGCTGGACGTTCCCACGGACGGGTGGGTGCTGAGCCAGCGCTGACGCCACACGTGCCTTGTGACCACACCCCATTTCCGTGTGCAGGTCTGTGGGGAGGGGTGGGGGCCTGGAGACCCAGGGGGTCTGAGCGGACCTGCGGTCCACGTGAGCCCGATCCTCCTAGATCACGGCCCACCCCGTTGCCTGCCCTCCAGCTACGGAGGTCGTCCACCCTGCTCAGGATGTAA